GTGGAGCGGGTGGCAGCAGGTGTTTCCAGGAACCGACCCACCGCCACGTTCCCACGCAGGGTGTCGTGGTCCGTTTTGTGCTTCCATCAAGGAATGCCCTTAAGGCAGTTATCCTTGTTGGTGATTTTAGAGAAAAGAGGTTAATTCGGCTCAGGGATCTTCGGACTATACGAGGAGCCAAGAGAGATGAACATTCTTGTTTGGTTGGTTATTTTGATGGTTTTTATTTTTATAGTAAAGAGTAATTGAAAGGCTCAAATGTTCACCCAATAGAAATTCCGAGCGGGACAATGGGAGCAATGTTGGGAAGGGTAAGGGGAGATTTTATCAGCATCACCGCTCCTCAGACTGGGGGGTTTGGATCAGAGCAGGGTGAACAAGACAAACCCGGGCCTAGACTGTAGTGAAGCTTCAGGATGTTGATGACAGAGAGAAAAACTTTAAAATTGCCAGAGAAAAAAATCTACACAGAGTTGGCAGTTAGCTCTTCCTGCCAGTGGTCATGCGGGGCAGCTGCAAGTGTGGGAAGACGTGGCCGCCATCTCTCCTTTTGAGCAGTGTGTCCTGTCCTCGCGCGGCGGGAGGCTGAGGGCCCAGCGCTGGGGAGGCCCCTGGCTCGAGGCCCTGGTCCCCTCACCAGGGAGGGCCCTGGCTGCCTGGCCTCGTCCCCTTGCAAAGGCCCCTCCCCTTACTCCAACGGTGCGGTTAAGCTTCGGCACACGGCTTGGGGACACGTTCACACCATGGCACGGCTCTGCGTCGGAGCCCACGTGTCGCCAAGGCCCCAGGCTCACTACTGGTGGGGTGGGCTTGCCAGCGTGGGGCTCCTCGCTGCTGTGGGGGCAAACCAGCCGCCAGGGTGTCCGCTCCGTCCGGACGCTCACTGCACACCTGCAGGCCCCGCGGCTTCCCTGCGGCTGCTCTCAGGTGGGGAGAGGGGCTTCCAGGAGAGCGGCCGCCATTTGTCTTGGAAGCGTGAGCAGCCATGTAAGCGTTTTGTGCATCATACGTGAGCGTTTCAGTTCTTTTTGGCAGAGAGCCTCAAGTACTGAAAGATCAATACTGTTATTCCTGTTTGAGAAAGCCCCCGTTTGCCTCCTGGGTGTGTGGAGTCCCGATCCTCGCTCCTCATCCCACATCTGTTTGTTTTTCAGTGCAAGTGGTCGAGGAAAGGCTTCATCCGGACGCGGTGGTGCCTCGCTGACTGGTACGTTGCCCATGCCTGTCCGCTTTGGGTCCTTTGTCCGTGTGCTTTGCACACCTGGCGTCCTGCATGGGTCTCTCGAAGGCCCTGCCGACTTTGCACAGGGACTCGGCTGCCTGCACCCACCTCTCGCTCTGCCATTTCTGCTCATGGTGGGGCCGGACACCACGGTGTTGTTCCCATCACAGTGTTGTTCCCATTACGGTGTTGTTCCCATTCGTCAGCCATCCAAAGACCCCTGCAGGGACCGCACAGTCACATAGCGTAGCTCAGCCTGGCGGCCGTGCGTCGGAGTCTGAGCACGGACAGCAGCCGTGCCTGGCCGGGCTGTCTCCGCTGGGCTTCCTGCTCCGTGGTCAGCGCCTACCTGTCCTGTGAGGCAGGTCAGAGACGTGTGTTCCCGTGTGTGTACCGTTCTGTTGTCCACAGCTGCGCTGAGCGAGGTGTCTGCTGCCCTGAGACGTTCACCCCAAACTTGGCAGCTCTTCAGAAACAGGCACTGAGCAGGTCATAGCTTCCATAGCGCAGGGTCAGGGGTGACCTAGCAGGCTGTGGCCTCCCTGGAGCCGGGGGACCTGCTTCCAAGCTCACCCTCGCACTGTGGTGGAGGCCTCGTCACACGTCACTCAGGATAGGACGTTCCCAGGGATCAAGGGCCCCAGAGAGCGAGGGGGACAAGGCTCTGGAGATGGAGTTGCCATCCTGTGACCCACACCCTGCTACCCTTGGTCACAGCCACCAACCCTGGCTCTGTGGGGCCACGCAGGGCATGGGTGGTCAGGCGGGGTCAGCGGGTCACCCTCGGGGCTCGAGGGGGAGGGCTGCCTGCACTCCGTGACTCCTGCTGAGGGAGGGGGCGAGGGGACGCAGCATACCCAGCGGAGGAGGTGCCGGGGCGGAGGGGGCCTTGGGAACGGTGTCAGGACAGTGCCACATGCTGCACTGACCTCCCCTGGGAGGGACACGTCCCTGCTGGGTGGCCTCGCCGAGCGCTCATGCCTGGAGGCCAGTGGCAGGTACCCTGGGGCCTGGGATCGTCCTCGGGGCTGAGCTTGGGGGCTGATTTTGGGGAGTGAAAGGAGACACGGCCCCTGTCCTCACACCCCTGTCCCATGTCACAGGTCCCTGCAGGACACAGGTGCACTGGGCACTGGGGTACTGAGGTGGGGGGACGCTCCCTCTTCCTTGTAGTCTAGTCCACAGCTGAGGACAGTGTCCACAGTCGTAAGTCCTGATCTTTAAGAAGAACGGCTGGTTTTCACCTGGCCGAGTGGCCGCACTGGCGCAGATGCGCTATGGCTGCTCTGCGGGTCTTGGGCCCTCTGGCCTCACGGAGGACGGGTGGGTGGACAAGCGCCTGGGTTCAGGCAGCTCCACCCTGAGGAGGCTGAGGCTGGCCATGCCCTCCGGGGGCCCCTCGGGACTGGAGGCCCTGGCGACGCGCCCTTCTCTCCTTGGTGCAGTGCCTTCGACCTGGTGAACATCCATCTCTTCCACGATGCGTCCAACTTGGTCGCCTGGGAGACGAGCCCTTCGGTGTACTCGGGCATCCGACACAAGGCCCTGGGCTACGTGCTGGACAGGTAGGTGCTGGGGCTGCCGCCCCATCCCCCACCCCCAGCCCCGCCCCTGCGCACAGGGACCTCGTGCAGCTCTGCTCCTTCAGCCGCCACCCCCGCCTTCCGGCCCCACCCTGACCTCTGCTCTGTAGGCACCACCCTCCCTGGGCTCTCTGAGGGGACGGGAGGAAGAACGTCCCCGTGGGGGGTGGCTGTCAGCGGGCCCCTGTTTGTACGGGCCGCGTGTGTCCCGCACCGCCACATTCTCGAGGGTGGGGGTGGGGAGAGTCCCGTGAGAGGTGAGCCCTGGGGACTGTGGGGGGCACGTTCCTGTCCCCACAAGACCAGAGGCTGATGGACTGTCCCGAGGGGTCCCTGAGTCAGGGTCCTGCCTGAGCATCTGGACGTGGGCTTGTCTCTGAGAACGTTGCGTGTGCATTGAGCCTGAGCACGTGTGAGCGTGTGCATGTGTGCGCGTGCATGTGTGCTGTAGCTCAGCACCGCGTGTCCTGAGGAGCAGATGCAGGGCTGAGTTCTCCTCCCTGCTGGTGCCACTGCGAGACAGAGCTGGTGCCGGCGGGGCCTCTCCGCTCTGAGCCCTGCTCCCTCCACCCGTGTCTGTGGCAAGCACAGCCTGGCCGTGGCCCACGTGGGCTCCCGCCTGCTCCCCGTGTTCCTCCTTCCTCACAGGGCCCTGCTCAGGAAGCTGGGAGGGAGTTCCCACCCCTGCGCTGCCATGAGCCAGGCCTGTGGCCGTTGGTTCACCTTGGTGGCCAAGCCGCCCCGTCCTAGGAGGAGCAAGGTGAGCCCGAGGCCCTGCCGTCTGGGCCTGTCCTTGCCTGGCCGTGAGGAGTCCTGGTGCCACTGCCCTGCCAGGCACTTGCAGAGGAGACAGGAGCGTGGACCTGCTCTGCCCCCCCCCCACTCTGCGCATGGCTGCGCCCTCCTCAGGGGCCTCCCCAGCAGGGCAGACCGAGCCCAGGGCCTGTCACTGATGGTGCCTGATGACAGCCTGTGGCCGTGGGACCCACCTGGGCGCCCTCCCAGGACAGGGCATCGGCTGCCCAGGGAGCAGGCCCTGGCATAGGCCCGTTGGGAGTGGCTCCTCCTGCCCGCGTGTCCTCTCCTTCGAGGCACCAGTTTCCTCGGGGAACCCTGTGGAGCGAGGGGGGTGAGGTCGGTCCGTCTTGGAGACTTGGTCAGGTTGTCTGTGTGGTATGCCATTAAAATGTGTCACTGCCCCAAACTGCCGTGCCTCCACGGCCCCCAAGAAAGCGGCCTCTGGGTTTGGGGCCACTTCCCTGCGTCTCTGCGTTCCCATGAATGGCTTCCGTGGCGCGCTCAGCCAGCCGCAGATCCGGACCTCCGCGGTGCGGGGCGGCCGCCGGCACAAAGGCGAGCTGTGCAGGCGCGGTGAGTGACGGCCCTTTCATCGGGCTGCTAACCTTTGGCAGCCACCAGCAGACTGCATTCTGCCGCGCCGATTGGGGAGGACAATGCCGCCCGGCCCTTTGAATGGACGCTGCCACCAACAGTGCTGCATTCAGCGTGGGGACGGCCGTGAGCGCTGTCCGCGCTGCCTGAGACACCGGAGACGGCAAGGAGGCTCCCGAGGGGACCCGCGTTTCCCGGGTGCAGTCTCCCCCCGTTTAAGTTCCCATTGGAGCTGCAGGAGCCTGTGGCAGCACAGCGGGGGGAGGGCAGGTTGGCTGGAGTCCCGTCCCCAGGAGGGACACCCTGTGCTCCATCCGAGGTGCCGGGACTGTCTTTGCGATTATTTAAAAGTACCCCAGGATAACATGGTAATTTAAAGAGAACTCAGGGACAAGCTCTCTGAGTTTCACTCTTCAGCAGCTCGCGAGCGCCCGCCTGCCGCAGCGGGAGCCAGGGAGCGTGCACCGCTCGTCCTCACACCGTCTCCGCCTTGTCTGTGCGGTTATGGGTTTTGTTACAGAAACTTTAAAAAGACACAGCCCTGATTAGCGCAGAGCGCCAAGCCCAGGGGAGTCTCAGACCCAGGCAGGTCTTGGAGGGTCTGGGCGAGGTGTCGGAGCACCTGTGTCGGGGCCAGGGTTCCCGGACGGCCCTGGCCGGAGGCGGACCCTCCCAGGCTGGGCGAGGCGGCACTCACACCTCCACCCGCCCTCCATGCGGGCCTGGCAGGCACTTAGCACCTGGCACACGTTGGGGGGCAGACCGGGTCCCTCTCCCAGACACGCAGGTCAGCCCTCAGGGCATCCGGAGGGATTAGGCCGGGATCTGCACCGGCTTCCTGGGCGCCAGCCCTGAACCGTCTGAAATCTTCCCGAGCTTTCTGCCCGTGAAATGAGATTTTTTTCCCTAAGTGACAGGGCTCTTCTGTCTCCCTTTGAAACGTGGCCTGGCCTAGTTCAACGGAAACATTTTTACATTACAACTGTGAAATCTCGGCATAAAGCGCCCCTTTGTCCCCCCATTATTTTCTCACAAATACAGTCCATTGTCACAGTGCTGAAGTTAATTTGATCAACATTGGGACATTTAACTTTTATGTCCAGTCAAAAGAGTTGTTTCATGCTCATTTTGGGCATTCAAAGGAAATGATTGCCAGAAAAATAATGTTGCCCCGAACAATCGGGAGCAATTAGTTTCCCAGGGAGAGGCGATGTGGCGCCGACGCCCCCGTCCCCGCTTTGTGGCTTTATGGACGGTCATCAGTCAGCTGTCAGGCGGCTCAAAGACTCTCCGAGCTAAATGTTTCTCTTTAGGCCGTTCCCAGAACCTGCCTCCCTGCTCGGCCAGCAAAAGAAAAGCCTCTGCGTCTCCAGGCAAAGGCAAACTCGGTGCTAAGGATCTGGGTCATTCCGGAACACTTCTGGCCACGGGGCTGTGTCTACGCTTTTTTCACGGCTGTGTGTTCGGAGGACAGGTTGCAGGTGCCTTTGCCAGTTGTGTGCACGCCGCAGCCAGGCACCCTTTCCACCTGGGAGCCTCAGGGCGGTGTGGCCGCGTGTGTGTCTGGAGCCCACCCGCGTCCCTCGTGGAGGCCCCGAGGCACGCCTGACACTCGGGGGTGGCACAGGCCGGCGCCCCGCTGCCACTTCTGCCACTCCAGGCCGGCGCCAAGGTGTCCACGGCAGCACTCCCAATTAGGGTGTGTCGCGTCCGGCTGCAGCCCCAGCAGAATGAGTTCACCGTGCCTTACATCTCAGATGATTGTCAGAATTCGTATTAATAATATTTATTTTGTTGAAAACTGCTTCGAGCGTCCAGAACGCTGTAGGAGGCTGTGTGGTGCAGTCGCCACTTCCACTCAGCTGTCACCTTCACATTCTGCCAGTTTTTCCCTTTGATGAGAAATGAAACGTGGCTGCAAGGGCGCCCGTGCGCCCTCCATCCAAACCTTCCTCGCCCCGCATGCCGTCCCCAGCTGAGGGCCTGTCACTGCTTTGCACCCTTCTGTCCCCTTACTCCAGAGCGTGTTCATTTCTATACTTTTATTATGTGTTATGCATGTGCGTGTAATTTATCTTTTTACATACGTGAGCGTCCATCAGCAACATGCTTTGGCTGTCTGTGGCGGCGCCCAGCTGTACACGGCCGTCTCCAGCCCGAGTTTCTGCTCCGTGGCGCTGGTGCAGCCGCTGGCTCCACTGTCCCCGCAGCTCTCCACTGTGGCACTCGCCGCCGTGTGCCCCCGCTGCCTGGAGACGCCTTGGTTGGTTCTCGGTTCCTCGCTCACGGGCAGGAGCACGTCTCTGCTGGACAGTGGGGGCGGCTCTAGCCACCAAGCCTCATCTGCACCTGGCCAGTCTGGGGGATGGGGGGCAGTTTGTGTTTCCCCAAAACCAACGAGGGTGGTCATCGGTTCGTGTGTCCACTGGTGTCTGGGAGCCGCCCCTGAGCGCGGCTGTTATTTTTTCTGCCACACCCCTGAGGAATGAAGCCGCCGCCAGAGGTCGAGATGCCTCTGTGCTGCACCGTGGTTTCTGTGGTTTATGGTGGTGCTTGAGGGGACTCTGAGAGGTGGTTCCCAGCATGTGGAAAAAGCACACTTAAAACTGTGGTGTTATGTTTAGAAAACGCGGAAGTAGTAACTGCCAGAGGAAGGCCCAGGGTGCCCTCCAGCGGGGTGTCTGCAGTGGGCTCTCCAGACCTACTCCGTCTGCCAACATTTCTCAGTGGGTGGCAGGTGTCTGCCTGAGGGCTGGCAGGTGTTGAGAAGGGCGGGCTTGCTGGCTGGCTGCTGAGGCCAGGTGAGCTCAGGCTCAGTCAGCTCGGCTGCCCTGACAAGGTGCTGTGGCTGGTGGCACAACAGCAGATGCTCGTTTCTCGCGGTTCTGCATGGTGTGAGTCTGAGGTCAGGGTGCCGGCCTGGCTGGGGTCTGGTGAGTGCTCCTTCCCGGGCTGCACACGATGGCCCTTCCCTCTTGCCTGGTGGAGAGGGGGACAGTGTGCTCTGGGGCTCTTTTCCTGCTTTACGAGGACACCAGTCTCCGGGGCGAGGGCCCCACCCTCGTGCCCACAGGCTCTTGAGGGCAGCTTGCTGGGAGGCACAGGTGGAGAACTCGGAAGTTTCAGGGCACTAGCCTGGGGTCAGCAGGCTGGTCAAGGAGACCCTTGAGCGTGGACATTGCTCGGACGTTGCCCGGCATCCAGCTGAGCTGCTGCAAGGTGTTCCAGGTGTCTGTCGAAACCTGATGCTAACCCCAGTGCCTTCGGCAAATTCTGCCTTTTTGCCTTTGTAGGTGACCGTCTTTCCTTAGTGGTTGCCTCACTGTGTCTTAGACAAGCCATCTCACCATGGGGTCTGTGGGGTCAGGGGCTCCGCCCTGGGGCTCAGGCTTCAGGAGGGCAGCACACAGGGGGTTGGATGAAAAGTGAAGTCATGAAAAATAGTCTGTCAGTTTCCAGGAAGGTGAAAATCAACCAGTTAGTGTATTTATTTGGGAGTGGGGGACAAGCTTATTTAAAATGGCTTAAATACATCTACAGTGAATGATTCAATTAGATATAATATTTTAAGAAAAACTTTTAAATGATTA